AACAAATCCACTGTTAGCAAATAAAACTAATGTGGCTGTGACATTCCCATCTGTTCTGTCACTCCACCTCCTTTCACATCTGATGTAAGTAAACCTTAGTTACAGTATCACTTCAGACAAACATCTGTTCTAACAAAGAAAGTTTGAGAATTCCTTAAATGAGGTACAAGAAACTCCTACCTGAAGCAGGGAGGAATTCAGAGCCGGGATATGGCAGCTGTGGGGTCACATTATGCTCCGTCAAAGGCAGGAGATGCCCTTGGTCCAGACAGCTCCACACGTACTGTGTCCCGACCACTGGGATCTGCAGCTTCTGGATGCTGCGCTGCCGGTTACTGCTCAGATCCTTCACACTGCTAGTGACTACAAAAGAGCACTGAAGGAGATAAACGGAGGTCAGAAGAGACACTGCAGCTCTTTAGAGACTCAGTAGGACCACTGAACACTTATTACTTATTTTAAACATTATAAAGCATAAAGTGCTCGTTAATTTTAACCACAAAAAATGTGGGCATGATTAGAAAATGTTAAATAGTCATATAAAAATGGTCACACTTGTACTCTTAGCATAGCAAATTAATTGGAAATACAAAAAAACCCCCATCAAAATACAGAGGGGGATACAATCTACAAATTAGCCCTTGAGCAGAAAAAAAGCAGTTTTACACATGGTTTTCTTTATTTCTTTCCACAATATGGCACTAATCTGCCTGTAGTCATTGAATTGAGGAGAAGTCGTGGCCTAATGGTTAGAGAGTCGGGCTCGTAACCCAAGGTGCGGGTTCGAGCAGGGATTGTAGGTGGGGGAAGTGAATGTATTCAATACCACGACTGAGGTGCCCTTGAGCAAGGCACCGAACCCCCAACTGCTCCCCGGGCGCCGCAGCAAAAAAATGGCTGCCCACTGCTTCGGGTGTGTGTGTGTTCACTGCTGTGTGTGTGCACTTAGGATAGGAAAAATGCAGAGCACTAATTCCTAGTATGGGTCACCATACTTGGCCACATGTAAAAAAAAAAAAAAAAAATTATAAATGTTGCTGCGTTATTTTGAACTACTTAAAGTTAACAGTATCAGAGGGTTCAACAAACTAAACGTCTGTAAATTGTGTAAATGTAATTTGAAACCCAACTCTTTATCTATGTATAAACAAACTCTCAGTGTAGCTGCTCTTAGTTTTAATAGCACAAAAAAAGAAGACAAAAGAGTAAGAGTAAAAAATGAACAGGAACCTCTTTGTTGATGACATATGAGATGTTTCCTCCATTCTCCAGAAGAGCTAATCTCAGTTTATTCTTCTCTTTAAAAGGCAGGTTCTTCACATCTAACACCACAGTACAGTTTTCAAACACTGTCATGGTGCCAGCGTGTCTGAACATTTGGAGAAAAGCAAAAGAACAAAGAAAAACTGCGATGAATCCTACAGTAAATATATCAATCACATTAACACTATGACAATAATAATAGCATATTTCTTATTGGCGTATCAACACAAAACATGTTTGAGTAAACACATTGACTATTCATTAAATAAATCAGACTTTATGCACAATACTTATATTGGCACATGCACAAAACATGTTAGATTTCTCAAGTTGCTATCTTTCTCTTGATAGAAAGCAGTGGATAATGCAAATCCTGCTGCAGTATCTCTCTTGCTAGTGTTGTCGTGTCATTAGCAGACAGAAGAGTATCTTACCGCGGACAAAGTCAGAGTCGAGTGACACGTTTAGGTTTTGAGAAAATAATGTTAATGAAGACATAAATAATAAGTGCTTCCTGACTCGTACGTACAGTGAAGACACGCCTCCATTCCTCCCTGAGATAAAAACAAGACGGGCTCCATCCACTGGTCTAAACCGTCCTTGCACAAATTACCATCATTTACCGTAGATTTCCGTGGGGGAAAAAACGTGGCGAGGGTTCGAGGAGAGAAAAGTTTGTAGTGGTCCAGTTGAATATTAATTCATTTGGGTGACGAGACAAAGTCTGATGTCATTTTCATATTTTGAGATCTGGAAAAAAAATCCTTAGAGGATCTGTCACAGCAGTTTTTATTTTGATATCACCGACTGACATTTTTCTGACTGATAAAATAGACGGAAAATGTACAACATAGTCCAAGGTTTATACGCACACTTATATACTACTACTACTACTACTACTACTACTAATAATAATAAAAATAAATTTTAAAAAATATATATATATGTGTGTGTGTGTGTGTTTGTGTGTGTGTGTGTGTGTGTGTGTGAAAAAAAACAGCATATGCTGGTTAGGTATGTTTTGAAGCTGGGATGCTGGTTTGAGTTGGTTTAAGCTGGTCCTTTGCTGGTCCAGATGGTCATGTGCTTGTCTTTAGCTGGTCGGACCAGTTTAGGACCAGCACATGCCCAGCTAAGGACCATTTTAAACCAGCTAAGGACCAGCATAAACCAGCAAAGGACCAGCTTAAACCAGCTCAAACCAGCAAGCTTCAAAACATACCTAACCAGCATATGCTGTTTTTTTCAACAGCATCTCAAAAAATTAGAATATCGTGAAAAAGTTCATTTTTTTGTAACTTATTTCAAAAAGTGAAACTTTCATATATTCTAGAACAAGAATTTGTGTATTTATACACACATTTATTTGCATATTTATTTACTTATTTATTGTTTTTGCAGGTTTCGTCCTCCATAACACACAGGTGCATCTCAAAAAATTAGAATATCGTGAAAAAGTTCATTTTTATTTAGTAACATTTCAAAAAGTGAAACTTTCATATATTCTAGATTCATTACAAGTAAAGTAAAACATTTCAAAAGTTTTTTTGTTTGCTTGTTTGTTTTTAATTTTGATGAAAAAAAAGTGATAAAATGAAAGTGAAGTGACTTGTGGCCAAGTATGGTGTCCCATACTCGGAATTTGTGCTCTGCATTTAACCCATCCTAGTGCAAACACACAGCAGTGAACACACACACACACACCGTTGAATCGGTGCAAAAGTCCTAATATGACGAACTTTAGACTATGAAAAGGAGCATCTTTCAGTTGAGGCATTAAACTGGCCTCATGACATTTTGTTTTTATGTATTCCCCACCTCAATTACTAATTTTACCTTGGTTTTTTTTTGTTTTGTTTTTTTGAAGGCGGTAGCACATTCTGATGGCTGGTAGGCTGTTGTGAAAAATTAGCTTGCTGTTGCCTGCTGGAGCTATTTTTATTCCGGCCAGCAGGGGGTGCTCATTCCCTGACGTGTATGGGTCCAAAAGTCTTAGTATAAGGATGCAGACTTTTTTTTTTAAGCTTCATTAATATGGGATGAAATTAGACTCAAAATGATTAATAGTCGCACACACAATTGTCCATGTACTGCATACATTTTATACATTTATCTTACTAACCACAAACAAATGCCTTTCAATTTGATTCTGTGGAATTTGGGATTAAATGATAGTGCAGCGATTTGTACAAATACAGACATGTTTGCAAATAAAAATGTTCTGTTCTGCTTTAATATATCATAAATTGCTCATGCAAAAAGGAATCCATGCATATGTGGATCAGGTGACACGCGTGCATTAATTGACGTCTAGTTCGAATCAATCTTATTCGGTTCATTCAGATTTTGAGACTTCATTTTCACAGTTTAGAGCATTTCACGTCCCCCCACACACAACTACCAACGAACAAGGCCCAGTGCAATTCATTAAGGTGTACACGATTTGAAAAATTTGCAAATGTGCGTCACTACACTGAAACAAATGCTTTTCAACCGGTGTCTGCAGAGTTAAGAATTACATTAATGTGCAGCATGCGTGCATCTATTAATCATTTTGAGCCTAATATCATCCCATACATTAAAAGGTTGCTTCTTTTTACAGTCTGAAGTCTGCATCGTTATAACACTTTTGGATCCATACAAGTCAGGGAATGAGCACCCCCTGCTGACCGGAATAAAATGAGCTCCAGCAGCAAGCTAATTTTTCACAACGGCCTACCAGCCATCAGAATGTGCTACCGCCGAAAGCTGTGCGATCGCGGAAAGTCAAGAATACCTGGGCATTTACGCAGAGCAGATGGGCAGAATCCACCCCCTTTTTTTTTTGCTTTTGATTGGCTGATATTCAAATAATTTAGGGAAATTCAGGGGAAGTTAATAATGTTTTTTACAGTCTCAGTTAGCTTAACGCAGTTCATGAGCGTCCCCTTTTGCTTCCCTTTGATATTTATATAAACTATATAAAATTATATAAATTGATATATTTTCTGCTCCCATATCTTGAATTTTGTGATCATTCGAAATATTAAGCAACAATTCTACCCCCATAGTGTTTGCAGCATACAATTTGGTAAATGGAAGCTAGTTGGCTATCCACAGCCTTAGACCAGTGTATGCGATTAAAAGGGAATAGAAGCAACAACAACTCAGGTGAGTGGATTATTGCATACAAATCATAATGCATGTACATAGCGATATCAACACAGAAGGAGGCTGCCAGCTCACCATAGAATATATCATGCAAAATACTGCAGGTTGTGTGACGGATAAGCTATTTGGATAAAATAACAACCTAGACTAGAGAAATGCACATAAGACTGTGCAACGAACACTGGTGCCGGTGTTGTGCCCAATTCTGACACCTGCCAGATTATATACCCCAGGGAGGGGTTAGGATTAGGCAATCAGATTTCAACGAGAGGGGTAATAATTTGGCAGGCGGTCAAAAATGGGCACAACACTGGCATCGGTACAGCGGTGTGTGGCAACAAGGTTTTTTAGTCACCCAATGGCTGCTCGCTTCTCACAGCGAACCAGATGTCCTGTATGGACATACAAGCCCAGTACGGCATAAGCAAATAAAAACAATGTTACTCACTCAGTGATAAATCCCAAAATATATATCCAAATGCAAAATCTAATAAAAATAGGTCATTGTTATATTGGGCTTTACAGGCATGCAGTTTCTTTCTTTATTTATTTAGCAGACGCTTTTATCCAAAGCGACTTACTCAGAGTGGAATAAAATTTGAACATTTTATCACCATGCACAAAACAATGACCTAGGCTGAACACTTTGGCAACTGGCTTTAAGTAAAAGTGGTCTAAGAGGGGGAAATCTCCTGTATGACCTGGTTTAAAATCTCATCTATGACATCACAGTCATAGTTCACTTGGTCGAGGTCCAAGGCAGGAACAAAAGTGACCAATAAACGGGCGATGCTGCACCGCAGCTCCCTCAACCTGATGACAGAAGAGAGAGAGCAGATTTATACATGTGCATCAAAACGTGACTCCTAATGAGCATGTACAGAAAGGCCACATACCACTGAAAACCTTTGAAACAAGTCAACAAAGCTCTTACTTGGCCGGTGACACTGCGTTCTCTCCCGCCACAGATCTTTCACTGCTCTCTCCTTCCTTTTTGATCCCATTCACAAGGTTTGTAGCTGTTCTTGCGCTGCATGTTTGTTCTGAACTAGTGTTACTGTCCTTCAGAGTCTCTTGCTCTCTTGCATTGCTCCACGCCTCTCTTTGTTTCCTCAGCTCTTCTACTTCCTTCTGCAACTGTTCGCAGTGAGCTTTCTCCTGCTCCAAGCTCTCCAACTTTTGAGTATAAAATTTGTGGTTAGTAAAAAATGAAATAAAAAAAATAAATAAAATAGTTTAAGCATGACTCATCAAATTATGGCCATCCCTGCAGAAAAGACCAGTTCCCCATCATGCCACTTAAAGGGATAGTTCACCTAAAAATGAACATCGTTTATCTTCGGAAGAAAAATTAAGATATTTGTGATGAAATCCGAGAGCTTTCTGACTAGGCCTGTCGCAATAATCAATATATCGACTTATCGCGCAATATATGAACATGACCTCGATCATTTTTGGTGACGCAATATATCGCCCATTATATTTACTTAAAAATTAATGTCACCATGTTTTGTACATTCCACTTGCGCCTGTGTCTTTTGCAGCTTCTCGTACATAACGTGTAGTCATGAGGTGCTAAAAATGCTTCTACAAAAAAAAGTTTTATCTGCAGACATGGCCTTGTTTAGGGATCTGTGTCTTTGTGCATACGGACATCTGACTGCTAAGTAGAGATTGTGTTTTTCAGCAATAGTGTGCACCCTTTATTTACAGAGAAAAGAAGATCAGGGAAAAATCTGTAGATGGAAAAATCTCCATACAAGTTTTTTTTCTACTTGTTACTTTGCACTTTTGTTAGAAAATGTTTATTTACTATTTATTCAGGTTTTTTAAGGTATCTAATATTTTGATACTTAATTTCCATGATATAAATATTCTTAAAAATTAAACGTTTGTTATCTTTTGGAAGTGTGTAGGCCTTCTTGCATTATTATGCTGTTACACTATGATTATATATTCAGTGGCATAAAATGGTCTTTAAAATGACAATAATATCGCTTATCGCAATTATATCTGGGGCAATATATCGCACAGCAAAAACTTATCGTGACAGGCCTATTTCTGACCCTCCATAGACAGCAAGCGTCCTACCATGTTCAAGTTGTTCAGCCGTAATTTTATGAAGCTACGAGAATACTTTTTGTGTGCAAAAAAAAAAAAATTACGACTTTATTCGAGTTACCGTCTTCTGCCATTATAGAGTACCACGACGGAAGTCGTGGCCTAATGGTTAGAGTCAGACTCGTAACCCAAAGGTTGCGGGTTCGAGTCTCGCACCGGCAGGGATTGTAGGTGGGGGGAGTGAATGTACAGCGCTCTCTCCCACTTCAATGCCACGACTGAGGTGCCCTTGAGCAAGGCACTGAACCCCCAACTAATTCCAAGTAAGGGTCACCATACTTGGCCACATGTCACGTCACTAATTATGGTGCAAGACGGTTGGTGAATAAAGTCCTTATTTTTGTTTTTTTCTGTGCACAAAATGTATTCTTGTATCTTCATAATTATGGTTGAACCACTGATGTCACATGGACTATTTTGTCAATGTTCTTGGTACCTTTCTGGGCCTTGAATGTGGTAGGACCCTTTCTGTCTATAGAGGGTCAAACATTTCGGATTTCTCTCTCGGATTTCATCAAAAATATCTTAATTTGTGAGCAAAGATGAACGAAGGTCTTATGGGTTTGGAACGACATGAGGGCGAATAATTGACCGTTTGCAAAGAGCTTGATTGACAGGCGATCTGAGTGACCAATCAAACAGCGGATATTATGTGCCGCTGCTGCCATCCGCCATCTTGCCCGACAGCTATGGCCAGTCTCCATAGAAATCCATGTTAAAACGGGGTAAAAAAGATTGATAGAATTGAGACATTTTCAGTATAAACTAAATATAAAACTGTGCGGAGGGTTAAGCTGTGCTGTTGTTGGCTGCCACAGTAACGGTAATAAGCTAAGGAATTCCTTTAAAGTTCATGTTTTGCGTACCAGAAAATCTATCATGTCCGGCGCTCTATGCATGGCCTGCAGCACTTATGTTAAAATACTGAGTTAAATAATAAAATAATATGTTAAAACGTGTGCTCTTATCATTCTGTGGACAAAATCCCATGAACTTTGCCCTGAATGGGAGCTGTATATGCACATGTGCGCTCATCTGTTTTCAATGCAGCTAACCTCGCGTCGCTTCATGTCATCTTCTCACTCGTTAAACTATGACAGGTCTTTTACTGCAAAAAGACGGTCAAACCTGTAAAATGATGAAACTATGGCACCATGTGCTTTTTAAAGGGGTCATACGATGCGATTTCAATTTTTACTTTCTCTTTGGAGTGTTACAAGTTCTTGGTGCATAAAGAAGTTCTGTAAAGTTGCAAAGTTTCATAGGTTTCACATTATATTGTTGGATCGGAAAATATGTAAATGGGCATGCCCAGTAGCTGCAGCTGTATCTCTTCTAGCCTTTATCACAAATCAGACAGGAGAGTAGATTAACTTCTGTGGACTTAAACTTGAAAAATGGTGTGTTCCGCGGTTGAAATAAAATACTTTCTGATGTTTATTCATGTTCATTTCATGCTTTAAGTAAATATGAAAAGATGATCGGTTCACATGTTCGAACTGAAGCAATACAGTGATCTGTCACAACACATTAAAGATCCACAAAACTGTATTTATTGTTTGAATTTCTGTAAAAATTACACAATTTATAAACTGAGAGTCCTGAGACCTTGTTTGATACCAGAAGTAACCTGCACTGTCTTGTCTTTCGGTGTGTTGTTAGTTTCCTCTTTGCTCTGAGATGTATTTTTCACTGCGTGAGAACATGATTTGTAGTGCGAGAGCGGCATTATTTGTCGGGGATGGCAACAGTAACTAAGGAGGGCGGGTCTTTGCGAACGGTCAATTAATGACAGAATTGAAATTTTTGGGTGAACTATCCCTTTAACTAGTCTCGCATAGCCAGACCTTAAGACTGACTGCATCAGACGTTCAGCCAACGGTCCATGGGCGTGACATCTGAGGCTTCCCTTTAACTATCTTAACTAGCAAGGCTTTCATGGTCAGTCAGCTTCAGTAGTATAATGGTTAGTTCACCCAAAAATGGTGACAGAAAAAAATTCTGTAATTATTTACTCACCCTCATGTCTTTTAAAAAACGTAAAACATTCATTCATATTCAAAACACAATTTGAGAATTTTTTTAATTAAACCTGAGTGATTTCCAGCTAGGGCTGTCAAAAAAAAATTACGAATTTCAAATATTCATCGAATTGAAATAAAAAACCACATTCAAATGTAAAAATCAGCCATTCGAATTTTATGTGCGAGTTTTTTTTTTGCCTATCCAGTTGAACTATTGCGGAAAAAGAGAACATCAATGTGGAGATGATGTTGTTTACGTCAAAACTGAAACCAAGCCGTTCACACAACGCATATTTTGCGCATTTTCCAGAGGGACATCTATCACCGTTGCACTCACGTCTCGTACAAGAGAGCCGCATGCTTAGAAAGTAGGGGTGTAACGATACATGTATTCGTATTGAACCGTTCGGTACGAGGCTTTCGCTTTTGATTGGTTGGACTAATCCTATCAACATTTGGAAAATAAAAGAACTTAAAGGGTGTGAAATATAATGTTCTCAGTGCCACTGCTCTCAACAAAGCAGCCAAAACCAGGTTTTTTACGTGGTATTTACGAAGTTCACGTAGTATTTTCTTTTTGCTTCTGAACGATGCATATTAAAGTAGTGTTCATAAGCACAGCTCTGCTTTGTTTACAGCGGTAACCCAGGAAACACTATCATTGCTGTTCATAAGCGCCACCTACTGGCAGAAAGTGAATCTGCGTCTCATTCAGCTCTTCTGCTTTTTTGTTCAGATATGTTTTATGTAGTATAGTTTCACAAAACTGAAGTCAGACCATTCTGTTTTAGATGAAACAAACTAAATTAGACACAGTCTAATTTAGATTAAAAACTGCTCATGCTGCAAGTATGCTGCATCTTTGTTTGGATGATGATTAAAATGCAGTGGTTGCCTCTTAATTTTTAATGGAAAGAGCAGAGACAAAGCCTTTGTTTATATGAAGAGATTTCTTTTATTTGTGTAACTTATTTGATTTGGGGTTTGTTTTAAAATTTCAATTTAGTTTTGTTATTTAAATTTCACAAAGAAACGTGCAGCAATAGCCTAATAAAAGGACCCCTTTTCATTTACTGTATAATGTATTCAATCTCATTTTGTAAAAAAAAAAAAAAAAACCTTTGTGAGAAAATCGAATCGTGAGTTGAGTGAATTGTTACATCCCTACCAATTATTATTATGAATAAACAAACTAAATTAGACAGTCTAATTTAGATTAAAAACTGCTCATGCTGCAAGTATGCTGCATCTTTGTTTGGATGATGATTAAAATGCAGTGGTTGCCTCTTAATTTTTAATGGAAAGAGCAGAGACAAAGCCTTTGTTTATATGAAGAGATTTCTTTTATTTGTGTAACTTATTTGA